ACTTTAAATTTGGTGAATATAAATAAGAACGGAGGGAGTAACACTTTTTTAATGTTTCATAATAAAAAAAACTTCTCTTTCGACTACATATGAAACTGTTTAAAGCAATTTAATATGAAAAGGGACAAAATTAGTGATGTATGTTTGACAATCACTACTTCTAATATATTTGATTTTAGCACGAAATTAATGCACTATAAATGTGTAATTGCACACATGTGAAACAAGGCAATATTGACTCACAAGTGAAAATTGTCATAACTCGTATAGTGTTACATAATTATTTGCGAGAATACCAAAGGGCTGATGAAATATTTATAATCTATGAGCATAAAAATGTAGTTGCGGACGATATCGACCAACAAATGACTCTAAGTAACAATGTTGGTTCATTTTCTTGGTCATATGATGGAGAAATGCAAGTTCAACGTGAGGAGATTGTCCATACTATGTGGGGGAAATTACATTAAAGACCAATACACTATAATTTGTGTTCAATTTTTTTATTGAATTAAAGTTTGATCAATTAAAGTTAGATAAAACAATTACTTAATTAAGTGGAGAACAAATAACTTTGTAATAATTTATTATGCGATTTTATAGTTTTTTATTTATTTGGTAAGATTGAATAAATAATTAGGGCTATTTACAACTGATGAGATTCTTATGTTTATGAGAAGATATACAACATAGAAATTTCATATCGCATGTCCAAACAAAATTTCAACTTCATCTCATGATTTCATATCATGATTCTATATCACATGGTCAAACGAGTAAGCATTTGAATATGCGATTTCTTCTCGTGATTTGATAACATGAGTGAAATCAACATTTGGATATGCGATTTCAATTTTCATCTCATGAGATGAAATCTCAAATTCTTAAAAAAAAAACTTAGATTTGAAAATTTCATGTCAGGATTTCACATTTTTAAATATAAAAACTTGATCCATAAGATTATATATTATAAAAAATAGATACTATTTATATCTATATAATTTTTCCAAGAACATCAGAGGAGTGATGAAATTTTTACGAATATGAACGTAACCCTTTGCAAGCACGCAGCTAAATTTGCCTACCGTGAATCAGTTTCAATCTCAAGAGGGAGATGATCCAAAGCAGGGGCGGACCCACCCTTAGGTAAGGGAGGTCAAGTGATACCCCTTCATCGAAAAATACATTGTATATAGAAGTCAAATTTTGATTTAACATTGTATATAAAGATCAAATTACATTGTAAACTTATATATATAAGTATTGACACTTCTTGACACAAGTTAAATGTTTAGTCTAGTAGTTAAGATGTTGCAAAAATTTCTTGAGATCATTTCTTATCCTATATATACTAGCCTCATAAATATATTTTTACTACAATTATTAATACCCCTTAATAACAATCATGAGTCCTGATCCAGAGATATAGGCTAAGATTAGTCTTTATAGCAAAGTTCTTAATTTGTTGCTACAAAACCCAATTTATTGCCTTAAGGCGGCTTCTTTTACCGATGCATTTGCTATGGAGATTGAGAAGATAAAAAGAAGGGTTGCTAACATTGACCGTGCAAGGACAACTTACAACATCGTAGATTCAAGTAACAACAACTCTTGCTTAGAAACTTTATAGGCAAGTTTCGTGATAAATTTAGGTGTTCGAGACTAGTATATACGTAATCCATAATACTTGAGATGTTTAAAAATTCATTGGATGAAACTGGTATATTTGGGTCATTTGTATAATGGTAAAGGTATATTTATACCAATTATGTAATTGTAAGGATATATGTGAGCTACTTTTGTAACAAATGGTATATTAACTCTAATTCGCAAATTTGAGGGGTATATCAGACTTTTTTCCTTATTTTTAAACTTGTGATTTTAATATTTAAACTTCTGTTTGGACATGAATTTTACTTGAAAAAATTGAAGCTTCATGAAAGAAAGTGAAATTTCTTCCAAAAACCGACCTAGAAAACTTGAAAATATTAAAGATCAATTTAAGGATGAATTTTTGAAATCTGATCTAAAATATATAATCAAACGCGCAATACTTCGCTTTTAAAAAAGTTCTATCATCTAATAAGAGGGAATAACTACTCACTCACAAAGTCAGTTTAGTTATTTCATGTATATGTAGATATATTCAAATAATCATTGAATGCGGTAGTGAAGCCAAAATTTTCATTAAGAGGTGTCAGTTTTATTGTATCAAGATTTTATTTTGGTGTAATTTATCAAGAATTATACTTTGTTTGATATTATATCATTTTTGTTTAATATTGTTTATTTTCATTAGTCTATAATTTGAACGTGTGTATATAAAAAATTTCAAAGAAAATAAAATTAAAATACTTGAAGAAAAAGCACAAGGATACAAAACTACATGTGAACCTAATTGTTATTATAATATTAATTACGTGATTTTCTTTTTTAAATATAAAAAATAAAAATTGAGTCCAAAGGAAAAGTGAAAAAAGAGGAAAAGAGCCTAAGCATCGTCATAAGGGATATTTTTGGACCCCTTTACAGGGCTATTAGCACTTATAGTGAATTAATTAATTAATATATATAACATAACAATTAGAAAAGAAATTAATTGATTCTCCATTACTTAATTATTTTTTCCTAAAAGTGAACACGGTGAGTTATTTATTCCAACAAAATTTGAAAAGAAAAAAGATCAGGGAGAAAAAAGGTGTAAAAACATATTGTATGTGATAAAAATCCGATCACACGCATGGGTGAATCAGAAAACAACACGTGGACAATAGTAGGCATCGGATATCTCTCAAATCGTAATCAAAAAAATTAGTTGTGTTCGTAGAGGCCTCGAGTTTGAGACCAAGTTTTGTAAATAATGTTCCCTAAGATTTTGGTTATAAATAGTCTTCTATTAAGTAATTGTACAACATTTGATCATTATTCATTTACCAGCTATATATACACTTTTACTTTGTGACTGAGAATATTAATAATATCAAACTTAATCGATAACGCTATTAGTTATCAGTATCGAAACTCAAACTCATCTCGTTTATTTATCTTATTATTTCAATCCAATTCTATATGTTTTGTTTCTTTGTAGTTTGTATTATCTTCTTCTCATTAACTAAGCAATTTATATTACACAAACCCCATTTTTGGTCATTTCAATTTGCATGTTTTTGTGGCATGTTTATCAATAAAATTAATTGTGCGGGATCCATAAAAATGTCACATTTCTATTATTAAAAAGAACTTGACTTTAAAATTTTCTTTTTACTCTTAATGGAATTATTCATACATTATAACCACTAAAAAATAATAATTTAAATCATAAATTTCAAAAGTTTTTTTAAATTTATTTTATATCAAGTCAAACAGTACACATAAATTGAAACGAAGACAAAATCTGAAACTACACCTCTAGTGAGTTCTTCACCGAATTATATCTATTAGATTTGAAGTACTTATGATTTGACAAACTTAAAAGACCAAAACTACTCAGAAAAATATTTAAAGGATACTTTAGACCTATCTCCAAATGTAAGAGACAATTTCTATTTTATTTTCTCATATATAATTTCTATTTAAGTGAGAATATAGAGAATATATTGTAATGTTATTGTTATTCAGTAATATATTTAAGGGATATTTTAAACCTATCTCCAAACGTAAGAGACTTTTTCTATTTTATTTTCTCACATATAATTTATATTTTAGTGAGATTATACTGAATATATTATCTTATTATTATTATTATATATAATTTCTATTTAAATATATATATAAAAATAAATATGAATTTGACATTAAACTTGGACCCTCGTGTTTTTCGCCAAGCCATTCTTTCAAAACAGATGAACTAAAATTTGACACAAAAAATATTGCTACTTCTTAATAATAAAAATAAAAATAAACATATATAATCATAGATTATAATTGAACACACGTTTTCTACACTGTCTAATAAAAAATAAATATAACTTTAAAGTTTTTGAATCACTCATTAATAATTATATCTTAGAAGGAATAAAAAACCATCTTTGAAGAAATTAAAGTTCCTACTACACATGCAAATGCAATAGAAAGAATAAAGTTTTTCAATTCTTTTTTGAATGCAATAGTGAAAATCATCCCTTTTTTCAATCTATATATATTGATGAAAATTTTATGCCTTGTAACCTAACCCCATAAGCCATCAACACCTTTGCCATGGCAACAAACAATTTTAAAGCTGTCACCACCCTGCCACCTCAAAGTAAATCTCTCTCTCTCTCTCTATATATATATATATCTAATCAGGAGTCATTTGGTATGAGGTATAAGGTATAATAATCTCGAAATAAAATGTAATTAAGATTATTTTATCTTGTATTTGGTTGGAGGTATTAGGTAATCCTTGAGATATTTATTCCACCATGTATACTAGTGATAGGATTAATTATCCCCATATATATAACTTGTTCCCAACCAAATGGCCAACGATAGTTTTAACTATATACACTATATGCATAATATGATATTTTGTCGAATGATATTCAATTGATCATCTTTCAGTCTATGTAGCTATGCACTTCTCACCGCTAGGTGAAGGTGTGAGTAGCTCACCAACTGAGCTACACCTTATGATAATTTCAAAGTAGAGTTATCATGTTTAGAATAATGTCACACTTGGGATTCAAATTTTGGCCATATATGTTACAACACTAAAATCTTCCTTTGTATAAAGGTGCACAAGCCAACAATTTATGTATATACAAAAGAATTTGTTGTTTACTCTAGTTAACAAGGTAGCCGCATAAGGAACGTGTGGATGGATTGAATCTTTCGCGGAATATGATATTTTCAATTTATGAATTGTTGCTATGCAATATTCTTGATTAATAGATTAACATTTCCAAACTACCTTCCCTCTGAGATATACAAGTTGTGTTGCATATATCATGGTTCATTTTTGGTAAAGAGGTGGTGTCTAATTGATCATGTACTTAAACAAGACTTTGAGAAATCTAAACATGTTGTCATTTCCTTATCTTGACAGATACAAATTAAATCCTTCTTCTATGAAAAGTTCAAAGGGATCCGTCGAAAGAGGTATGAATCGAAGGACTAGAACTTAATCATTTTTTGCAACATTATAACATACGATAATAGTATGACGCTAGCTTTTGTGTTAGGGTGGGTTAGAGTCCCACATTGGTTGAAAGATGGACTGACAGCCTGCTTATATTGATTTGGTCAATCCTCCCCTCATAAGCTAACTTTTGGAGTCGAGCCCAAGTGTCATATCCTATATATATGGTATCAGAGTCAATGTATATCCCCAAGGGAATGAACTTATATAGATTTGGTCATTTGGACGATCCTCCCTTCATGAGCTAGCTTCTGAGGTTGAGTTAGGTTCAGATGCCATATGATGGAAAAACTTTGAACTCTTCAAATACCTTACATCCAAGCATAGCAAATTACCTGTAAAAGTCGCTTATGTTTATTTTGTATCAACAATTTCATACTACAGTTGAATGATTTGTATTCACATCTCAACTAACAACTCTCATGTTTCTTAATACATCTCAACTAACAACTGTTATGTTTCTTGTTTTTCTTTAGATACTGCTCTTGCACAGCTTAATAACGATAAGAAGTCTGCGTTTGTCAAGGCATGGGAAGAGAGCGAAAAAAGCAAAGTTGATAACAAGTAGGATTTCTATAACTTCCTATATGTTGTTAGCTATCATACAACTGATTTCTTGCCTATATGAGAGAGCATAAGTAGAACAACTTTAGTATACTCTTTTAATTGCACGAAAGCTTTTCAAGCAATTCAACTGATCGTGTTATCTTAACACTTGTATATGACTGAACAGGGCTCAAAAGAAGCTCTCTAAAGTTGCAGCATGGGAGAACAAACAGAAAGCACATCTTGATGCTAAACTGAAAAAACTTGAGGTAAACATATGTACAATGTTTAGCATACATATTTTCGATCAATTTTAGACATCATATCCTGTCAAGGGGAAACCAATTTAACCTTTCGAATACGTATTACATAACCAAATTATTCTTTGAAAAATGATTCCGCGTGTTTATGTATTAAACACACAGAAGTGAACTTCTGTGAGCTTACTGTAAATGTGGCTGCAAAACAGTGTCATCAAAGACAATGTCACATTCATTTATTTAATATTTTCACCATGGTCCATCTAAACATAAATTGAGGGTGGCCCGCGTAAAAATGGCCCATGCACGGTCAGGTAGACCGTAGTGCATGGATGATGTGTGTCAAGTGTCAACAATAAATTCATGATACTGTTGAGTCATGCTTTTGAATGTGCAATCTGCAGGTAAGATTAGAGCAAAAGAAAGCAGAATATGCAGAAAAGATGAAAAATAAAGAAGCATTGGTACATAAGGAAGCAGAAGAGAAGAAAGCCACGGTTGAAGCTAAACGAGGGGAACAAATTCTTAAAACGGAGGAGATGGCTGCCAAATATCGCGCCACAGGGCAAAATCCTAAGAAGTTACTTGGATGTGTTGGATGATAAAAGTTTTTTTCCATTATTGTTTATTTTCTTGCCTGCTGTTGTTTCGCGTGTTTTCTTTTACGTGTCCAGTTTTGTTGTAATGCTTCCTAATCTGTATAGGAACTTATTAAGTCTGCTTAGGAAAACAATTCCTGTATGTGTTTCTGGAGAATTCAATGTCAATGTGTGTGAGGTCCCTTTTTGATTTGATTTTGTTTAGCATCAATCCCCTGCCTATTTTCACTACCATATTTCCGTTTCTACTGATTTTGATATGTTTTACTTGAGCCAAAGGTCTATCAGATACAACCTCTCTACCTTCACAAGGTAGGGATAAGGCTACATCACCACCCTCCCTAAACCTCACTCGTGGAATTACACCGCGTGTAAGGTGCACCTCTGAAATGTATAGAACTTTCAATCAGCTGAAATGTCAACAATTCCATTAACTAGCAAATGAGTTAACAAAGATTCTCCCAATGTTTTTAGCTATGCAAAAGATATAACTACAAAAGATGAGCTTCAAGACATGGTGACCAAAATTTGCCTGACATGTCTTGGCTTACATACCACTCAAGATGGCTAATAATGCATAGTGAAGTCAAAATACAAATCTTTTCTGCAGCTGAACCTACTAGAAAAGAACAGTATTTTTTCGACAATTTAGGCTTTCGCGAATCGCGACTAACATATTCAGAGAAAGCCAACTTCATGTTCTGCTGAAGAGAATTTAAAGGAGCTTTCACTCAAGAATTCAGGATACAAGCTGTAGGTATCACTGTGTCCAAGAAAGCTCATGTCGTTGTTACTCGGGAAATCCAATAGAAGTTGCAGTGCTGATTCAGAAGAATCCTCCAATCCACTGGAGCTAGAGGTATCATCGTATCCTCGCAAGACATCTTCCGTATATGATTGGCTGTTCTTCCACTCTGCATCTTCAATTTGGTAGGCAGCAAAACTAACATCCATCTCAGTTGTGACGCCTGAAGTAGATCCGAACTTTGTTGATGAAGATGCTTGAGAAGCTGGACTTTCACAAGTAGTCCTGCCTTCTTTTTTGTTGAGTTTCCTAAATGCTTCTCCTACTTCTGAATTCCATATGCGCAAAAAGTAGTCGGCTCCAGATCTTCCTACTGATGATGGAACCAATGGTTGGGATTCCCTGGAGAGACGAGCCTCAGCTTCCAGCCTTGCACTTTCCCATTGTGCCATATGGCGGGCTGCAAGTGATGTAGGTGGAGTTATCATCAGCCCATTAGGTGCTGAAAAGGGTTCATGAGTCTGAGGATCAACGCCCATGGAAAGTAGGCGTTTCTTCAGGTGAGTATTCCATAAGTTCTTGATCTCATTATCGGTCCTTCCAGGCAGTTGCGATGCAATCGCAGCCCATCTGGATTAACGGTGAAAAATTAGTAACTTGTAACAGGAAAGTCCAAACAGATTATAGTACTAAAGCAAACATGCAGACAAAGGGGTAAAAATTAAACCTGTTGCCAAGAATTCCATGTAACTGTATGACAAGCTTTTCTTCATCATGGCTAAAGGGACCTCTTTTTATGTCTGGCCTTAGATAATTTGTCCATCTAAGACGGCAACTCTTTCCGCAACGAGCAAGACCTAAACAGAAAAATTATTACCAGATTGATCTCAGATAACAAGATTGCTCTCCATGTTATGAATCCATAAACAAAGTCTCTCTCTTCCCTGTGAATCATTTTCTGAACAACGAAATACATGACATTCTAGAGTTAACCAAGCTAACTGCTAAGGTAAATGGATGTTACAATAAACAGATACAAGCACATGACCAAAAGAGTCCAAACAAAAAGTAAATGTAGCACATACTGTTTCACTCATTCATTAGTAGCTAGCTGCCTTCAAACCTAAGACTTCAAGAATCAAGTTGAGTTCATTAGAACAACAACAACAACATACCATGTGAAATACGACAATTGGGGGGGGGGGGGGGGGGTGTCTGGGGAGAGTAGAGTGTGTGTAGACATTACTCATACCACGTGGAGATAGAGAGGTTGTTTCCGAAAGAACCTCATCTCAAGCAACACACATCTAAAAACAGATATAAAACTAGAAAACTGAAGTAATGAAGACATCACAAATAATAGGAGAAGCATTCTAAAGCATACAGAGGAAGGAACAATAATCACAGCATAATAAGTTGACTTCACTAGTACAACAACAACACTCCAAGTGAAATCTAGAGGGCAGAATGTGCGCACACCTTACTCCTACCTGGAGACAGAGATGTGGTTTCCCAAACACCCTCCGCTCAAGTAAAACATATCAAACAAATATAAAACTAGAAAAAACAGAAGTAACAAAGACATTGCAAATAATAGAGGAGACATTCAAAAGCATACAGAGAAAAGTCATGTTAAATAGAAGAGAAAAAGAGAAGAGTGGTGAAGAAACCTGCAAGATGTGGAAGAGAACGCCAACTACCATGACCATGATTCTTGATATACTCAACAAGCTTTTCATCTTCCTCAGGTGTCCATGGCCCTTTCTTTAAACCTTTCTTCTCACAACATGGTGTTCTCCCCATCCCTTACACACACACAAAAAAAAAAATTATAACTCACTTAAGTTCTTTGAATTTGTTTCTAATAAGTGATCACTTGAAAGCAAGTCTTTTAGCTTTAAAAGATGGAGTGTTTCAATCAAGACTGAGGGGGAAAAGGAAAGACTTGACTTTTCAAATGGAGAAAAAAGTGAAAACATTGTAGGTTATAAGTGAAGAGGGGAAAGCATATGGTTGTGGTTAAATGGTGAATAAGGAAAGTTGACAACCATCAGGTTTTAAGTTTCAAATTTAGCACAACAATAATAACATATTCAGCGTAATATCAGGTGTAAGCTTAGGAAGAATAAATTATATGCAGATTTTAGTTTTATCTCGTGAAAATGGAAAGATTGTTTTTGAAATATTATCAATTCAAATAACTCATATCAAAGCCAGTAGAAAACAAAAGATACGAAATCAAAGAGGACATAGTAGGGAAAACATTACACAGCATCATAAAAAAGGCAAAGTAACAACGGTCAAATAATGTGATAATCGAAGCATAAGAAACAACAAATAGTAACATGAATCGAAGGAGAAGGAATTATTTCTTTGTTTTTATGTGATACATTTCATTTTTTGAAAATCAAACTATGCCAACTTTGACTGATATTTGGTAAGCCTATTCTATAATGTGTTTTTCATCAAATTGACATGAGAGAATTTGCAACTTATACAATCGAAATTTTAAATTTAAAACATTAAATTGATAAAATCTAATTTAGGTTAAAAAATTAATCAAATTAACTCTCAAAAAGCGAAAAATTACCGACATATATTGAGAGGAAGAGAGTAGATGATTTATTCTAATTTGTTCAAATTAAGTAGAAGCAAAAATTACTAGAGAACATGTCAAATGGAGTAGCCCTTATAGTCAATAAGGTGAGTTAAAGTGTATAAGTAAACACTTAAACTTGCATTAAGTTAAACAAGTAGAGACATGAGTCCTATGTGGTATAATACATATCGGACACCACATAGGATATCATGTAGGACGGTGTGTCTATTTATTCAACTTTATACAAGTTTAAGTGTCTACTTATGCACATCCAAAATTACACAATATAAATGTAAGCATCGACTAAGTTAAAAGACATATTTATGTATTATGACTAAAGTGCACAAGTAGACACTTAAAGTTGCATAAAGTTAAACAAGTATAGACATGAGTCCTACGTGGTATAATACATGTCGGACACTACATAGGATATCATGTAAGATGGTGTGTCTATTTATTCAACTTTATTTAAGTTTAAGTGTCTACTTATGCACACCAAAAATTACATAATATAAATGTAAGTTGCAACTAAATTAAAAGATATATTTATGTATTATGCCTAGATATTTCTCACAATTAATTGATATATCAATAGGTGGATTGGATCAACAAGTTTTAGGTGCTATGCATTTAATGCCATGATATGTTGTCTAAGGAGAAACTGTACTACTATTTCTAATGGAAATAAATGCATACGTAGGCCACATGCTACAAGAAATTTTTTTTGGATGATTGATGCAATAGAACACTAAAGTTGCATTGAATGAATGCCTAATCTTCACTTCTTTCCCAATTCTTGAGGTTTTGGGAATCTCATCTCAGATATACTAGTACTATTGGATAGCAAGAAAATTTTGTTAAATGCAGTGTGCAGAGGCAAAAATAGAGGAAAAGAAAGAAATTTATGAATGAAATGATTCCACTTTAACTAATTTTTAGGATAATGCTTATTTAACATGGTATTAAAGTTAGATTCATTAGGCTCGGTGTGGAGCCCTGGGCCACGCATAATTGTGAATATACTTCCGATCCGTGATTGCATATGCTCCAGACCGGATAACGAAATATCGGGTAAAGAATATACAAACTTGAGCATGAGAGAGTGATGAATGAAATGATCTTATGTAAAATTGAAACGAAATTCTTGAACTCCTTATAAGATTCCACGTAAAATCGATACGAAATTCCGGATAACGATGAATGGAATGATCCAACGTCGGATTGGAACGAAATTTCTGAATTTCTTATAAAACTTTGATAACATTTCTCTTTTTGAACTAATTTTTAGGATTATGAGTTACTCTATATTTAATTTAACATAGTATTAAAATCAGACTTGTTAGAGCCGGTGTAGAACTCGAACCATACAAAATTGTGAATATACTTCTAATCCATGATTGTGTATGTTCTACACCAGATAAAGAATATCCGGACTTAAGCATGAGAGAGTGATGAATGAAATGATCTCACGTAAAACTCATACGAAATTTCTGAACTCCTTATAAGATTTGAACAATACTCTATATATAGAAACCCTACAAAAATTGCAAAGTGAGCATTAAATCCAATTAAAATGAGAATAGATTTTTAACTTTTTTTAGATTGATGAGAACATAGAAATAAAAGACAAGCAACTGGTCAACAAGTATCTGTCTGTGTAAGTCTATTTGACAAAATGTATCAGAATTAAATGCTTAGACAATTTAAAGTCTATTTAAATTTATATCCACAGGTAATTGGACTGAACATAAATAAGCTCTTAATTGTGCATTCAAAGAGCAGGAGCTTGTTAAAAGAAACAAATCTTCCTAGGTCAATGCTGTCATTGCTGCCCTTTTCAATACAGATTGGTTTTTTGTCAGCAATAATTTACTCGGTCCGTTTCAAAATAGTTGTCACGTTTTATTATTTTGAGAGTTCATTGATTAATTAATAATTAACTTAAATTACATTAAATTAATTCAATATTTTAAAAATAAATTTTAATTTTTAAAATCTATACAAAAAGTATAATTTTTTAATATTAATATGATAAAAAAGTACATTTTAAAATATCAATCAATATTTATATCATTTGACTCTTAAAAAGAAAAAAAATTGTGACAAGTAAAAAGGAATAGAATAGCTTAGATGTATTTGAAACCCTTTTTAACTTCTTAAGATTTCTTGTTGTATAAAAAAATTAGCTTCATGTTATGTTATTCGTAGGGGTGGATATTGATCGATTAAGTCTGGATTTGTCAATTTGGGATTCAAGTTTGAGATTTTTCTTGGAAGGTATCGGGAAGAATTTGGAATGAAATAAGAGGAAAAGATTTTCTACTGATTCAGAAGCGACCCGTAGACTTTTATTTTCACGTCTCTAACTTCTACTTGAGGTCACTCAAAAAAATATTTCATTCGAATTAGCTTTTTGTTATTGCTCCACTCTTGACTGAAATTCATGGATCGACCCCATCATCTCTTGAGTGATAAAATCCAACAAGTTTATCACCCCTTTTAGTACTTGGTCTATACCCACAAATGAATAAGAAGCGACACAAGATCTTTCAAACTATTTCTGTAGGAGGTCTAGACTTCTTTTTTTTCTGATCCTTTGCTGATTGCCAAGTCATACTTTACTCGATTGTATTTATTGAAATTTCAAGTCAATAATGTTATAACTGGAGGGGTGAAAGTCTCTTAAGTGTAAAGGAACTCGCTAGACCTTCAAAAGAAAGGAGATCATGTTCATGCTTTAGATGATATTGATTTGGTTTATTGATTTTTGATTTGTACTAAATCACTAGCCAAATCAATAAAAATTTTATTATTGATTTTCAATTAATCGATTTTTGGTTCTTAATAATTCAAATTTTGATTTAACCAATAAAAAATGTTCATCCAAAAAATTATACACAATGTTCATAAAATAAAAATAGAAGCAAGAATAGAAATGCGACACAAGTTCCTTAAACATTGAACTTCCTCAACTCCTTGATACTCTTAAGTTTTAACAATCTTTCATAATTTTCATGGTAAGTTTTATTCAAATCAAGCTTTAATTTTTCACATTTGACTTGTTAGAGTACCTTCATAAACATTTATGTCAGGATAAACACTAGTCTGAGTAAGAGTCCTAAAAATCTACTTGACATATATTTCAAATATTATTAGGCTAATTTGATCTGTAAAATCATTGAAAAAAATAAATCAAAGACTTGTTGTCCTTGATATTAAACTTTTGTAATTGACTAAACCTTGTGGCGAAAAAAGATATTGGGTATCTCTCTATTATAAAGATAGTCTAAAAATTTCGCTTTCTAACTTAGTAACTTTCATTCCTCTATAAATCACATAGAGAAATGTCAAGTAGTCCAGTGTAACTGAAAACTTAACCTTGGACTATGATGGACAATTATAATGGACAGTATTATGGTTGTGAACGATTACAACGTTCCAAAATAATAAAATCCTAACATTTTGATCATTCAATATTTTTCAAAAAAATATTGAAAAATATCAACAAATGAATATAAGAATAGATTAACTAAAGTTCTTTGAAATATAAGAGATGGATGATTTCCAAGCTCATCCAAAATCCTCTTTAGATAGGTTTGGATGAACGTAGAAGAAAAAGAATCTAATGAAAAAAGAGAAAAGACATAAAGTGACACCTGAAGTTGTTTCGAATTTTTAAAAAGACGCTTTAACTTTGTGGGTGTTCTATTATCCCATAAATTATTTCAAAATCACAATAAATACACACTTTTTACACAATCTACATTCTCAATGCATGAGCATGAGTCTCACCCCAATTAATAATATAATTACATATTTTTTCCAAACCCATTTAGTAAAAATTGGATAAAATCTTGACCCATTTACTTTTTAATCATGACCCACTCCATTTAACCCTAAACCCCTTTCAAATTTTCACTCTACTCTCTCTTTGATGATCAAAACCCTAAGCATTTCAAAGTCACAATAAATTTATTTTGCGGTGATAATTTCTTGAATTATGGAGTCAAAACGAAGAAGTGAAGGCTTACATGTTAATTGCCTCTTGATTTGAAAGCAAATTTTGGTTAAAAAATGTTATTATTATATAGTAGTGATTTTTTGAAAAATCATCTTTATAGTGATTTGTTGTTATTTTCTTCTTGTGCTATCTATTATTCATGTGTATGTAGTGTTAGTTTAGGATTGCTTTGAATTTGAATGTTTTTTCAGTGATTTAGTTTTGAAATTTGTTTGCAATTGCACTTTCATGATTTACAAATTCGTTGATCTCATAACTTTTAAATAAAATAAA